ATTGTATAAAAGCATAAAAATAGAAAGTTTTCCTTGAGTCTTTGGGCCTGCCTTTCTGAAGGCTTTCATGTGACATGAATCTGATTAAGTTTCTGATATTTTTGTCTTGTTAGCCTGTCTTTTGTTATAGGTGTGTTGTCTGTGATCCCTATGATGAGTAAGGAAAGGTACTAAACCTTACAATTTCCAGGTGTCTAATATGTATACATATATATATTCCATATAATATATATTTCCTATATGTATATATTTCAGATATCTTTGTATATATTTATATGAAAATATGTATATGTGTGTATTACTGTGTTTGTTCATGATTGCTTGTACCTTTTTCCCAAATGATCTGATTATATTATTATATTCAGGACATACTAAAATTCCCCCACTTTAAAAATTGGTTTGACTTCACTAATTATACATCTATATAAAGGGCCTTAAATATTCTGTTAAAATGATAGACTTTTTTTGTGATTATCAGCAAAATTATATCAATTTAATAAGGAACGAATAAAACATGTTACAGTAGCTAAAATAATCTGAACATTTTATACTCCTACAAAACTAGATATTTATTACATTGATATATAGTGGCTAGCAATGTCTGATGTGTGCAATAGGAATGATTATCTAATTTAAATTCAGTTCTGTTCCCAGTATTAATTAAGTTTAGCCATCCCCCAATTATTTCTCCAAAACATTACATTTGTCCCAAGTCAATGGAGGTCTGTGGAGGAACCACTGACTGTATCTGATAGAAGTGTCACTAAAGAATCTTTTTTAATTTTTATCTGAATATGTATATACGAATCCTTTAGACTGGTGTCTGGTACTCACCTTTTAAGTAAGCTCAATTTAATGAGGATACACATAAGTAACAACTTAATGTATATATGTATTTCAATATGTCTGTCAGATCTTCATTTTTTACTCTGTTTTGACATTATAAGTGAAGATCATAGTTTTTTAATGCCCTTCGGAGGAAAGACCCTCTGAATTGACAAGTTTTCTGAATTTGTGGTAAACGTCCTTGCTAAACTCATTGAAGCACATCTTCTGCTCTTGTCTGCTCTCCCCACAACTCTTCCCAAAGTAACACGTTCTGCAACCTCTTCCTGTTTCTGTTACTCTCTTCCAAGAAACTGCCCCAATTGGGTTCCACTCAAAATGGCCAAAGCCAAGCTCCTTTTTTTCTAGATTATACATGTAGTTCACTAGAGACTTATGCTTTCTTGATATGATAATTATAGGTTGTATAATTAATCTAATATTTTTCTTTGTTCATCCAGGTTTTTCAGGAAATTCCACTGTGTCATTACTCTCAAAATTTCCTAACTTCTGTTTATATATGACTTATAATTTCTTTGACCAGATGGTGACTTTTCCAAATACTTCTCTCACAAGCTCCCTCTCTGGTGCACTGACATAACATACAATTTTCTGTAGCTCATTCAGCAAATATCTAGCCAAGAAATAGAACCCCAGTTTTCTCTTTGCAGAGATACCTCCTTCCTCAAACCAACTTTGTTTAAAGTGGGACAGAAACATTTCTGAAGAGAGAGAGGAAAAAAAATGTATAGTTATAATCTATAGATCTAACACATCAGAGATTCTAGAGTTATTTTTTTCTATGTTCTTCTAATGGCTGGAGGTAGGTGACAAGAAACTATTATCAGGACATGTGTTTTCTTCTTGTTGTTATTCAATAAAACCAAAATGTATTAGAACACTTGCTTCATCAGATTTCTGTCCTAAAAACTTGGGAGGGTAAAATAGTTCATGTTAGTTGTTACAAATCTGAAAGATAAAGCATTTATTTCTTAAATGGTAGTATAATTGCTACTTTCAAGACTCAGCCAAATGGAATCTATTAGGTGGATCTTATTTTTCTGGGATTTATTGACTGGAATTTATTACATATTTCATAACTATTATGCTATAGTAAATACCTACACACGTAACTTTATATATATATATCTTAAAAGTAATGTTTACATCTAATTAAGTTAAAACAATTGTCACAGTAGAATATTATGACAATAATATCAGAGTATGTTTTATTACTAGGCTCCTATTTTTATTCCCAGAAACTGAGTTATTTTAAAATTAAAAATTAAAATATTTGGAATTTTTAAGGCATTTTGAAGGAGGCTTAAATTATTTTTATAGTTTCATCATTCCACTTTACTCTGTTTTCTCACAGAAAAATCTAAAATGAAATAGTTGACAAAGTGTAAAATGTGTTTGATAAAATATATACGATGTTTAACTTGTATGTCTATATGTTTGTGTGTGTGCGTGTGTGTGTGAGAGAGAGAGAGAGAGAGAGAGATAGAGAGAGAGAGAGAGAATAGGCAGAGTATGCTAAGTATTTTGGCTAGAAATTACTGAATATTCTATGTTATTTCACCTATTGATGTCAACATTCACTAAGTTATTGACTCCATTAGGTAACAAAACACACATTTGGGAAAATGTTTCTTATTTATAGAGTAACTTGAGATCAGAATATACATGACAAATAGCCCTCTATCTACCAGGACCATCAAAATGAAATAAAGAATTCCAAATCTAGAATATCTTACCTTGATAAGTAAGAAAATAGACTTTTTAAATATGTTTGATTCCCTGAGACTAATTTAAGAATAAAAAATACAAACAACAAAACAAAGGGCTTTAAAAAGAAAAAAAATGTATAGATTAATGATAAAGAAAAAATATTTAATCGAAATGCAAGTTTTATAAAAATAAGACCTATAAAACAGTACATTTTGTTTATGCAATATTAATAGAAAATATGTAGCATATGTTTTAAATCAATATTTATAAACAATTTCTAGGCTGATTATGTTTAATTTGCATTTGACTATAAATACCCTCACAATGCACATAATTTTTCCTCTAATAAAATATTTCAGAGTTTTAATAATTATTTTGAGTGATATTTATATCATGGGTAATATCATATCAATAAGTGATACAAAATAGCTGTCTGCAATGTATTGAACTATATATTTTAAGAGTTGACCCCAATTTTAATAATAGCTAAAACTTTAACAGAAGTTGAAATTTTTAACGGTACATTACTTTCAAAACCAACAATAAAAGAGTGATCATGAGAACACACTTCATAGTAGGAAATAAGCATTTCTGGGATGATTTCATTATGGCCACAAGTGATTATGGATAGTAGTTTGCAGTTGGATACATAAATATTTACTCTGTCATACTATTTTTATTTCTATAGTCCAATATCAGTGCAGTTTTATTATATGCTCTCATTTTATGTCTCATCCCTATAATGAAAAACACGAATTTTGTAATTCTGGGGTTAATGAGAAGAGTAAAGCCTTGATGTAGAGGTTGTCCTCAGGAAACAGAAGCTGAACTTGACCAACACATAGTGACGGAAAAATCAAGCCTATGAATCAGAATGATAAGGACTAGACAGGCTAATGAAAAAACAAAAGAGAGAGAGGGGTAAGGATGAATAATGTGTCAGAAGCTATAGAAACTTAAATAGTAAGTAAAGTATATATATTATAAAGACTTCAAGAATCATACTTAAGGAAAGTGAAGGTTTTTATTATTATTTAAGGTCTGGGGTACATATGCAGAACGTGCAGGATTGTTACATAGGTATATACATGCCATGGTGGTTTCCTGCATCCATCACCGTGTCATCTACATTCGGTATTTCTCCTAATAACATCCCTCCCTTATCCTCTCACCCCCTGCTATTTTTCCCCTAGCACCCCACCCCCTGACAAACCCTAATGTGTGATGTTCCCCTCCCTGTGTCCATGTGTTCTCATTGTTCAACACTCATTTATGAGTGAGAAAATGCGGCGTTTGGTTTTCTGTTCTTGTGTCAGTTTGCTGAGAATAATGGTTTCCAACTTCATCCATTTCCCTGCAAATGACATGAACTCATCCTTTTTATGGCTTCGCAGTATTCCATGGTGTGTATGTGCCACATTTTCTTTATCCAGTCTATCATTGATGGCATTTGGGTTGGTTCTGAGTCTTTGCTATTGTGAACAGTGCCACAATAAACATATGTGTGCATGTGTCTTTATAATAGAAAGATTTATAGTCATTTGGGTATATACCTAGTAATGGGATTGCTGAGTCAAGTGATATTTCTATTTCTAGATAGTTGAGGAATTGCCACACTGTCGTCTACAATGGTTGAACTAATTTACACTCCCACCAACAGTGTAAAAGCATTCCTATTTCTCCATATCCTCTCTAGCATCTGTTGTTCCCTGATTTTTTAATGATCACCATTTTACCTGGTGTGAGACTGTATCTCAATGTGGTTTTGATTTGCATTTCTCTAATGACCAGTGACGATAAGCTTTTTTAAATATGTTTCTTGCCTGCATAAATGTCTTCTTTGGAGTAGTGTCTGTTCATATCTTTTACCCACTTTTTGATTGGGTTGTTTGTTTTTTTCTTGTAAATTTGTTTAAGTTCTTTGTGGATTCTGGATATTAACCCTTTGTCATATGGGTAGATTGCAATTTTTTTTCCCATTCTGTTGGCTGCTGGTTCACTCTAATGATAGTTTATTTTGCTGTGCAGATGCTTTTAAGTTTAATTAGATCCCATTTGTGTGTTTTGGCTTTTGTTGCCATTGCTTTTGGTGTTTTAGTCGTAAAGTCCTTGTCCATGTCTATGTACTGAATCGTATTGCCTAGGTTTTCTTCTAGGGTTTTATTGGTGTTAGGTCTTACCCTGTAATCTTTAATCCATTTGGAGTTAATTTTTGTGTAAGGTAAGGAAGGGATCCAGTTTCAGCTATCTGCATATGGCTAGACTAATGGAACAGAAAAGGGGCTTCAGAAATAATACCGCGCATCTACAACGATTTGACCTTTGACAAATCTGAATAAAAGAAGCAATGGGGAAAGGATTCCCTGTTTAATAAATGGTGTTTGGAAAACTGGCTAGCCTTATATAAAGATTAACTGGATCCCTTATATAAAGATTAACTCGAGATGGAAAGTGAAGCTTTAAAGTAAGTGATGAGGTGCTATTAGATGTTTTCTTAAAACGTCTATTAGATGTTTTAAGATAATTAGAAAACTGGAAGTTAACATTGTCCATAATATAAACTCTGGTGTCACACTGTCTAAGTAGCATCCCTGTTTTGTCCCTAAACTACCTGTGTGATCTTGGGCAAAGCAACTGACATCTCTTTGCCTCAAATTTCTCTTCTGAAAAATAGAAACAATAATTGTACCAATTTCATAATGTCATAAAAGTTAAATAAACTAACTTAATATTTATAATGTACATAATTTTTAAAAATACAGCCTCCAACACAGTAACTGTTAATTGTATTTGATAAAACATAAAAGTAATTGAACAAAGAAAATTGTATCAGCTTTTAGAAAAAGATGAACAGTTACTGACATGGCATTGAAATCTTTACTTCTGAGATGGTAATAGTTGAATTTATAAAGCTTCTTGTGTAATTTCTCTTAGCATTCCTTGGCCAAATGACCAGCCATAAGAGTTTTCTGTTGCCCAAATTTATTTTAATCAAAAGGCAGACTCTTGTTCCTAATTTTCAGTTTGACATAGTTGCTCAAGTATCAGGTAATCTGTGATGACACATGAATTTGTCTAGGTTTCTTGTATTTTAACTGATACCATGTCAAGGATTCTAAACATAGATGAGAATGAGTCCATGATGAATCAGCTATCTTAACATGATACTGACATGAGGATAGGTGAAAAGGAATGCCATGCTGAATATCAAGATAAAATAGACAAACTTGAATGACACACCACACACACACACACACACACACACACACACCCCTAGTTGAGAATATTTGCCAAAACATATAAAAATGTTACAGATACCATTGCATTTCACACCATGTATTTCAGCATTTTAAAAATATAACTGAAATATCATTATCACACTAAAGAAATTTTATATTAATGTATTATTAACATGTATTCAATTAACATTCAGATTCCTTCAATTTTTCTCAAAATGTCACAGCTTTTTTTTTTTTTAATCTGTTTGTCTAGAATCCAGTGACTAATCCTGGGTTGCATTTTGTTATGTTCTTTTAATCTCCTTTAACTCAGCAGAGTTATCTGAGGCTTTTGTCTTTTATTAACTTGACATTGTTCAATATTCCATGTCAGTGTTTTTACAAATTGTGACACAATTCTAATTTGTCTAATAATTTTTATTGTTATATTCAGATTTAAATTTTTATTAGCTATACTGTATTGGTGATATTATTTACTTTCTGTTGTTTCACATTGTCAAGTACATAATGCCAGTTTGTCCATTTTTAGTGACATTAAATTTAATTATTTGATTAATGTAGTGCCTGTCCACTGCTAAATGTTACTTCATTTCAAAAAATCATTATTCCTCCAAGTATATATACATTAACACGTTTAGAGCTGTTGGAAATTGAAACTGACTTTCTTCATCTTGTCTCACAAACAAAAGTTTTTCCATAAATACGGCAATTTTGGGCACCCTTAGTTTAAAATTTTCTCTCACATTAATTTGTGGTAAGAAGCATGTCCAGAAAAGTTTACAATGCCAAACAATGAACACGTAATTGATCCAGGTAAGGGACTGTTTGCTTTATTACTCATGTAAGGGACTGTTTTGCTTTATTACTCAGAGAGCAAAGTTCTGCTTTAAAGAACTGTGTTTTACTACCAGTTTTAGCTGTAAGTGATAACTTTAATCACCCCATTTGGAGCATATTTTATCTCATATTTCTCCACTACTATATAATACTGTAATCTCACTTATGTGTGTATATATACAAAGAAAAATGAAATTAGGATTTTAAAGAGATGTCTGTAGTCTCATGTTCATTGCAGCATTATTCACAATAGCCAAGATATGGAAACAACACAAAGGTCTCTTGATAGATGGAAGGATAAAGGAAATGTGATATATATACACACACATAAACATGTGGTTGAATTAAAAAAATAAATTTGTACAATATCCTACCAAAACTGTAAGAATGCAGTAAAAATGGCCACCAAATAGATAAAATTGTAAACTAATATTCTAAGCTCACCAAAATAAGAAAGTCATAGACTAAATCCAAGATCAACATACATTAAGACTAAAAATATTTTAAAACAAGTTATATCACTAAATAAAAGTAAAAATTAAAATAATTCAGGCATGGGGTTCACATCTGTAACCTCAGCACTTTAGAAGGCCTTAGTTGGGATAATTGCTTGAAGCCAGGAGTTTGAGAGCAGCCTGGGCAACATAGCAAGATCCTAAATTTATTTAAATAGATTTTTTTAAAGACAATAAACAAACAAAGACACTTCTCATTCATACTAAAACACAAGAGACACAAAAATAAATATGCACAAAACAATACATAATCTGTGAAAATAAAATTATTTAAAAAGTGAACAGGTGATAAAAAATAATTTGTGAGAAAAGGACAAAAGGCAAAGAGAATAAGCATATACATAATCGGAATGCCTAGGAAAACAAACAGAAGTAACAATATAGAAAATAAACCTTAAAGAAAAATATCATTATAAATATATATGTGTATAAGTACAAATGAGAGATGGATATCAAGAAATAATATGTTGAGATTGAACAGAGATAAAATAATAAAATTGTTAGGAAAAAAACAGCTTTTTATCATCTAGGTAGAAAGACCAAAATCAACATCAATAAACATTAAATAAGACTGAAATATGAATTGTAGACAAAAATTTTTATACCAAAAGACAATATATGGTCCTATTAAAGATACATAAGAGAGAAAAAGTATGAGCCAAAGACATTATAGTCCACCAAACTGCTTTTTCAGTCTAAAAATAGAATATAACTGTTTTTGTCACAAAATAACTTTGAAAATAAAAATACTCTTTTCCATGAGCTTTTTCTTATGCATCTGCTAGAAATAAAACTTCAAATTTTCAAAATTAGTAGAGAAGCATTAGTATAAATCCTGTATATTTCTACATATTATATGTAGAACTAAGACAAAAGTATCATCCAAAAATAAAGCCATAGTATATGGTGGCAGTTTGCTTCAAAAATGTGGTTACATTGCAACTCTCAACAATTGAAGTTTTGTATCTAGGACATAGGAAGCTGCAGAGTGCAACTCCTACCTCAGTAAGCAAAGGACTCTGGGTTATCTACTACCCCATGATTCTTCTGAATCATTACAGAGTTCAGATGGCTAAAGTGGGAGGGCAATCAAGTAGCCTGAATTCTAAGGACAAAGAGAGTTGCTGAAGAGAGCATATGAAGAAGTATTGACAATTTGCAAATAGCTAAGAACAAACTAGCTAACAATGTTATGAATTGCTAAATGTTGAGTGCAGGCTAGAATATAGAACTCTTGGAACTTCCAGACATGAAGGAATTGCTCTCGCTCAAAGGCTCATTTCCCTGGATCTCCACTAAATAATGCTCATGAGAAAGACTGTGGACATGTGAAGCAAGTGGAGATAAGCCCCTTCAGTGGGGTAGGGAAAGGCTCAAACCCCACCTCCCAGAACTTCTTTCTCATAGGAATAGGCAAACTAAACTATTATTACCCTCAACCCATGATGGAAGTGCAGGAAGCCTTCAGGAAGCCTGATCATTAGACAACTCTAACAGTAGGGAGAGGATAAGTTTATTAGAAAGCCCAACCTCAGCACCCACCAAAGATAAAGTAAAATACAGCAAACACCACCTTAATTTCCAACTCATCAGCCTAAGAGGGCTAACAATAACACTTACAGCTGGAATATGGGAAATATGAGAGATGGAACCCCCACCCAACACACACACAAAGGCCACAAAAAGAAGACCTAAAGCTAAGGGTGTAATACATATTTGTGAAGAACCATCTAGTAAGCCAGCCTTACACTAAGCCCAAGGTAATATTAGAAGACTTTGAACTTGTGGTACAAAGAGGATAAACATAGGAACAAAAAGTCTAAAGCCAATTCAGCTCCTGGCTAGATTGACTCAACCCACACACAAATGTTCTAATGGGGGGAAAAGTGTCATTTCCAGGCATAAATGCCTCTTACCTACTATGTTATACAAAATATTGGGTTTCATTAAAAAATCATGAGACTCACAAAGAAGCAAGGGAAAAATCCCACACAATGAAAACAAAAAGCGGTCAATAAAACCAGACTAAAATATGACAGAAATGTTTAAAATACCAGAAAATTTAAATAATTATTTCTTAAATGTCTTAGTGGAGAAGATAAGCCACATACATAAACAGAAGAGCATGAAAGTGATTAGAGAAATAGAGGCTACAGGAAAAAGTGGGAAGAGGAGATTGAATTGAAGAAAGAAGCAAATGAAAATGCTAGAAATGAAAAGAGAGACAGATATGAATAATATCTATGAGAAGCTCATCTAGACCAATGAATAGAAGGAAACTTGAGAATGAGTCAATATATATTAGCCAAATTAAACCCCAAGAGAGAGAAGAGAGAATAAAGACTAAACAGAGCATCCAATATCTGTGGTGCAATTCCAATAGTCTAGCATAGAAATAATCAGAATACTCACAGGAGGGGAGAGAACAGGAAGGAGAAACATTTAAAGAGAACTGTGGCTGAGAATTTTCAAAGTTGATAAAATAAATAGCACAGATTCCAGTTGAGTGATAAAAAGTGAAATAAAAGACACATACACACTCCCCTAGACAAATATTTAAACTTCTCCAAACCAACGATAAAGAGAAAACCATGAAAATACCAAAGAACAAAGCCATATCATAGAACAATGAATAAAAATAAGCATGGCAGACTTCCTGTGAGAAATTATGAACATCAGAAGACAACAGAATGATATTTTTAAACAGTTTAATATTATTTGATACAGATGCAACCAACTAAAATTATATAGTACACCAAAGAAAAATTACTGTATAAAACTGTAAAGGAAACACAAATAATAAGTGAATACAAGAGAAAAAATAATTTTACTGTAACGATAAAAAATAGCCTAGTAAAGAAAACAAAAGAAGA